TCAACATTTTAGATTTTGGATTCAAAATTTTAGAGTTTGAATTATTTTTTGTTTAGTTTAAAAAATATATATATATATGTATATATATGCAGAAAATTAAAAAAAAATGTATTTTAAAGTTAAGTATTATATATGCACATATATATATATTTTAAGCATGTATGTATATATGTATGAAGCAAAAAAAAAAAAAAATAGAGCAGCAGCCGACCGCCACTGCATGAGAACGAAAATCTTGTGGTTTACCATCGTTCCGCAGCCGAAACAGCTGCCAAATTTAGTCCATAATGGTTGAAAATTTCCAACCGTTAATGTAGAAATTAATTCACTTTAAATTTAGTTTTAATTTTGAATTTTAATATTGGTATGTATATATACATATTAAAATAACTTAATTTACACAACATATCATCAAAGTGACATCTCTTGTGAATAATTTATTTATTTCATAATGTAAATAGTTATATTTGTGTAATTTATGTGAATGTTAATCGGCCCAAATGAAGATTAATATTTAATATTATTGCATTTTATTTTTGAGGTAATGAATATATGACAATTATTCAGTATGACATGTGAACTTTAAATCGGCTCAAAGGAAGGTTAATTGTTTGATGTATTTCTACTATCTGTATTTACTTACTATTATAAGGTACCACTTATAAGATAATATTCTGTTCAAAGATAGAGTGTTAATGGAGTGTTCGGTATCTTGATATGAGAATATACTTTAATTTAAAATTTTATGATTTACAGTTTTATATGAGTATTAATTTATTTATTTTTGTATGTTCTTTGTTTATTTTTGTTTTCTACTGGAAGTATCACCGCAAATGTTAATTTCATATCAATGTTGAACAACACAAATTTCAAACAATGAAAGAATAGTGTTCGACTTGTGCTTGGAGTTATGAATCTGGATTGGGCTTTACAGGTTAATTAACCCAATCTGATTACTTCTGACAACACCCTTAGGAAAAGAAAGAGTTTGAAATATGAGATCAGTCAAACTGTATGAGTATGTTCGTTATGAAACATACTATTTCAAAGGTTTTTCGAGCACTATGTCCAATGAGATCACAACCATTAGAGATTTCTTTCATTCTCTATAACAACATTTGGCCATAAGTGATAAGGTCGAGACATGTACACATCTGTCTACTCTTATTTCCATGAGGTATGAGAAAAATGAAAATATTAGACAGCACATAATGAAGATGTCATATGTGCATGCGAAACTCAAAGTACTTAGAGTGAAATTGTTAGAAGAAGTAATTGTGTACTTTGTTTTGGTTTCTCTTCCACCATAGTTTAATCATTTTGAGATGACATACAACTATCAGAAAGAATCTTAGAATCTGAATGAACTCATTTCATATTGTATTCAAGATGAGGAAAAGCTTAAGTCTGAGAGGATAGAAAGTGTTCATTTAGCAGTGATCTCAAAAAATAAAAAAACAAGGAAAAGAAAACAGGTAAATTTGTTGCAGTTCTAGTACAACAGAAGAAACAACAAAAGGCTCAGACAAAAAATGTTTATTTCTTCTATAAAGCTCTAGGACACCAATGCGCTAACTATCACACATGACATGCGAAAAAAATGTATGTTTCTTAATTTTGTTTGTTCTGAGGTTAATTTAACTTCTGTACCAACACACACTTGATGGATAAATTCTGGTGCTACAACTAACATCAGTATGTCTATGTAGGGTTGCCTCCATTGTTGTAAGCCAAGTGATGGTGCCAGATTTATTTATGTGGGCGATGACAAACCAGTCGAGGTGGAAGCAATTAACAAATTTATATTGTTATTAAGGATTAGATTTTATTTGGATTTATAAGAGATTTTTATTGTACCATCATTTAGATAAAATGTGATATTTGTTTCTGTATTAAGTAAATTTGGTTATTTATATTTATTTAAAAATAAAAAATTTAGTATTTTTCTTAATTCAAATCAGGTTGGTTCTGGTTATTTATCAGTGCATGATAATCTTTATTTGCTTGATGCAATTGCTTCTTGTAGTAAATCTTTGCATATTGGTACAAGAGGTATAAAGAGAAAATTAACCAATGAGGATTCTGTTTCTTTATGGTACAAGAGATTAAGTCACATCTCCCAAAGAAGAATTGAGAGACCGGCTAGGCCTTATAGGCCAAAGTAAAAAAAAAAAAATGGACTCCAAGACTATTAGTTGTTATTTTATTGGTTATTTTGAGCGATTTAGGAGTTACAAATTTAATGATCCCATTACTAAGATAATTTTTTAGACAAAAAATGTTCAGTTCTTTGATGATGTTGCGTTTGCTGGGGGAGAACAAGTTTGCGACTTTATTTTTAAAGAGGAATAGGTCAATATTCATATTCTCTCAGGTTCTCTTGATAATGATTAGGATCAGGTTTTTATACTTATCAGTGTTTAATAAGCAACTCCAAATTAAAACAATGTCATAGTATCTCCTATTTCTATCTAAAAAACTATTCTTGAAGTATAACCTTCACATCCTCAAGAACTTATGCTATTAAAGAGATCCACAAGAGAGAGGAGAAGTGCAATACCAGATGATTATATTGTATATATAAAAGAAACATGAGTTTGATATTAGGACGATGGAAGATGATTCTATCAACTTCTGTCAAGTCATGAAAAGTTCTCACTCTCACAGATGGATTGATGCCATGAATGAAGAGATAAAGTTCATGAATGACAATGACGTTTGAGATCTTGTCTCATTGCCTGAGGATGCGAAACCTATTGGTTGCAAATGGATATTTAAGACCAAAAGAGATTCGAAAAGTAATGTGAAAAGGTACAAGTCACGTCTTGTCGCTAAGAGTTTTACATAGAAATAAGGCATCTATTATAAAGAGATTTTCTCGCTGGTTTCATTGAAAGACTCTTTCAGGACTATAATGGCTTTAGTGACATATTTTGATATTGAGTTACATCAAAGGGATATTAAGACAATGTTTTTCAATAGTGACATTGATGAAAAGATTTATATGGTGCAACCAGAAAACTTTGTATTTAGAGATACACAATAAATAGTTTGCAAACTAAAAAAATCTATCTATAGACTTAAACAGACTTTCTATCAATGATATTACAAATTTCATCAAGTCGTCATCTCGTTTGATTTTGAGATGAATTTAGTGGAATATTGTATATACTATAAGTTTAGTAAGAGTAAATATATTTTTTTAGTTTTATATGTCGATGACATACTACTTGTCAGCAGTGATATAGGTTTATTGCACAAAATTAAGAGATTTCTGACAATGAAATTTGATAGGAAATATCTTGGGTAAGTCTCTTTTGTATTAGGGATCCAGATACATCAGGATCGCTTTCGAGGTATTTTTTAATTATCACAGAAGAGTTATATCAAAAAAAGTCTTAAAATATTTGACATGCAGGATTGTAAATCAGGAGACACCCCTGTGTCTAAAAGAGACAAATTTACTCTAAATCAATGCCCCAAGAATGATTTAGAGACTATAGAGATACAAAAGATTTCTTATGCTTCTGCTGTAGGGAGTCTTATGTATGCACAGGTTTGTACACTTCCATATATTGTTTACATTGTGGGGATGTTAGGTATATATTTAAGCAATCTCGGTATGGATCATTGGAAAGTAGCCAAACGTGTCATGCGGTATCTACAGAGAACAAAAGATTATGTGCTCACATATAAGAGGTTAGATCAGTTGGAGATCATTGATTATTTTGATTTTGATTTCGCCAGATGTCAAGACAACAAAAAATCTAAATCATGTTATATTTACTTGCTTAATGAGGTAGTTATTTCCTGGAAGAATGCTAAATAAATACTTGTAACCTCTTCTACTATGGCAGCAGAATTTGTTGCTTGTTATAAAACATCCAATTATAGAATATGACTACGAAATTTTATCACTGGGTTGTGTATTGTTGATCGTATAGAAAGATCATTAAAGTTATTTTGTGAAAATAAATCAACAGTTATGTATTCCAACAACAACAAGAGTTTGACGAAGTCAAAACATTTAGATATTAAGTTTTTTGTTATTAAAGAAAGAGTTTAGAGTAAGCAAATATCGATAGAACATATTAGAATAACTCTATGATTGTGGATCCGCTAACTAAGGGATTATCACCTAAGATCTTTCATGAACACACTGTTCATATGAGTGTTGTATCCCTAGATGATGTGTAGTTAAAGTGGAAGTCTTGTACTATAATTATATCTATTTTATAAGACATGTCATAAATTATGTACTTTGATTTGGTTTATGTATATATGATTTCATTTAAGTTTTTGCTTTTTGTATTTATTTTTATATATGTTATTATCTCTGAATTTTCTTACAGTTTATCTCACTAAGGTTAATATAAGACTAATTGAAATGGGCATGCTTAGATCGCATAGCGTGTAAATTCCATGTTGTACATCCATACTTAATCCATATCATTCGGTTATATTGATATACATAACCATTGATGAGTTTAATTTTATTAGCTGTAGCGAATGCCACTTTATCTTATGTATTTGTGATTGATGGACGAGATTGTTTGTGATGCATTCAAGTATTGATAGCATAGTTCTGAGTACTCATACTGTTATTAACGCATAGTTAAAGTATCACATAAAGACCAAGTGGGAGATTGTTGAATTTTTTCTGACGTGTGGGCTTAATGTGGACCTTAGTATGCATATCAGACTATCAATTTAATGAGCTCATTTAAAAGTGATCAAATATGATTAAACAATATTGAGCCTTAATGCACCGGGTTTAAGTATGGACTTATAATGTGAAAATAATATTTTTGTAATATTCTTATTTTATAATGGACGAAATAAAAATTGTAAAAGTTAGTCGATATAAAAGACGGTTATGATTCTCGAATCAGAATATTTTTATTTTATTTTTCTGAAATCTCGTCACTAGAAAAAATTAGTTTTAAGGCGTTGTATTGATTTAGAAGATCCTACCCCCGGACGTGAACAAATCTTTTACGATGAATTCAGGTACGCTTCCAATTATATATTTTTTTAATTCAGTACGAGAATATATGTTTAATTTTTTTACAGATCTATGGATTTGAAAAAAAAAAATTATTCTAACAACACGTCGTAGTTGTCTATGTTGTTTTATGAGATAGAATATAAAGTGTATTGATGCTAGGATGACATTTCTAATAGTTCGTATATTTAGATGCTATCGTTTAAGATTATACCATGTTTCACCATTATCAAAATTTCATCACTCATTTACTACTACTCAGTTATTCTTTATTAATCTAGTTATTTAGTAGTTTCCTAGTTTTGATATTAGTATTTCTACTTGAACATGATTCATGCACCTTCGCGCTTGTTGAGATTGCTTTATTTGTTGATAATGTTCTTGATTTTAGTATCATTCTTTATCATTCTATCCAAATAAAAAGAAACCTTTATCATCTTAGTGACTATCATCAACTTCTACTACTATAATCTTGTATAAGTTTGATTCTTATCATGAGGCAAAATATTGACCTTTTCTATTGAAGAACTTTAGACACTGAAGAAAACTCATATTTGAGGTTAAGTGCATATTTTATCTAGTAAGACTTCATTCTTTGTAAATGAGTCTATAACATACAAAAAAATTTTCTCTTCAAATGTCATAAAGCATAATAAAGATGTGAAAACATAGTTTGCTTGTAGCTTATGATGCAGTAAAAATGACATGACCACTTTGTAGCTCATGATGCGGTGAAAACATAGTTTGTTTCTAGGGGTCCTGGGACCCTGACATGAAATTTCTACTATTGTAAAAAGACTTTATTAGTTAAATCTCTTGGGAAGTTTATGACCGCTGAAATGGCTTATGGAAGAAGGTGATTATTACCAAGTACTGGAAGGAAGAGATTGGAGGACAACTAGGAGTAGAAAGAATTATGGTACAAGTCAATGAAACATACATAAAAAATGTTGCAAAATGAAAATTCTTTTACTTTTAAAATTTTTGGATTTAATATTAGTTCGTAATGATCCCACGATAAGACAGAATTTTACATGGTGTAACACTTTAGTTATGCATGAATTACTAGAATAAGGTCAAGGATATATAATAAAAATGGACAATACGTTCTTATTTAGTTGGTTAAGTGGTTGCCCTCTCAAACTAGCAATAGGTTTTCGTATCTAAAACTTGCATTTTTTTTCCTTACTTTTGTACATTAGTTGATTCAATCTCATCCGTATCGAACATGATATTATGGCTTAATGATAAATGTGTTTAGTCATTTAAAGCGTATCAAATTCTTTGTCTTCCTACTGATAAAAGATTAATTACTAATTAGCTAATACATCCTATAACACCCAATAAGAAGTATACAAACAGTCCGAGATATTTCTACTATAGAAAGACAGATGGATGACCCAAAGTTCTTCATGCTCAAGTACAAATCATTGAAATTAGAAGGCTATTTGGCCCACAAATTATGAATATTTTATTGTTTCGGGTTATATTGATACAAAAAGATCAATTGACAATATAACTCATGTATAGAGAAGATAATAAAATGATCGATCATCTATTTAGTAGATGTACCTTATGCATACATGATTTACTACTTAACTCTCCTACAATTGACTGAAGATAATTCAAAAAGACGACATACATGATATGTTCAGTTCTATTTACTTTTATATATTACATACTATACGAAATTATCATTGTTAGTTCTTTTAAAGTATCTGATAAGTAAAAATTCAAAAAATTTGTCGATGTTAAAGAATTAATGAGAAAAAAACGTATTTCTTTTCGAGTCTTATTGAAGACTCCAGTATCGATTAGTTTCAATTGACGATTTCCTACGTATGTGGTGTATGAGTTCAATATAAATACTAATTTTTCCGTTTAAAAGCATTCTGTCATTATACTTACCGTACAGATTGGCTTAATACAAAGAATTTTAGTTATTGAATAAATTTATACATTAATTAATTAAGTAATACATATTATATCAATTATAATACAATATAAATAAATTACAAACTCAAATCAATAATCTCTTATAAAAAAATGTAAATTATTGGTTAAATAGTAAGTTTGTATAGTTTATATATATATATATAGATATAGATATTAATATATGTAGTAGATAATATTGAGTGGTTATTACATTTTCATTTACCCTAAAACTTGCCGCTTTTAGCACCAAAATCCAAACAGCCTGCAATCTTTGGAATTTTCAATGAAAAAACAGAAGACAAAATAATTTCTTTTCTTTTTTCAAAAATTGAAAGATACGTCTTTGGTTGACCCACGGACCTCGGCGAAGCTCATCAACCGAAAGCAGGCATCGGCACTGCATTTGCAGATATATATATATATATATATATATATATATAG